CCCCTTTCCCCCCGCCAGTCCCCACCTGTATTTTTCATAATTTTTTTCTTTCTATTGTACTCCTTACCTCCACGTGTTCCAGGTCCTGTCCGTAGTCCTCAGATGACGCGATGACCGTGCGGTCCGCCAGCCAGGACTCCAGCACGTCTGCCTCGTGGTAGAACTCGTACAGCTTTTTGCTGTCCAACAGCTTTTTCCTGCGCTGTGTGGTCAGGTCCTGCAGCTGGGAGTACTGGCGCTCTATCTCCGCCTGACAGAAACAGAAGGGTAATAGTTTGGTTGGTCGGTTGTTGTTTTTTTGTTTGTTTGTTTTAGTAAGAGTAAAAAAAAATAATTTTTTTCTTAACTCTTTATCTCCGCTCACAGTCCGAACCACTGTGATGGTGAACCGCTGACAGCGGCACGGGCACATTCCTTTACGACGACTTCCACATCAAATTACTTTTCAGCAACTGCCAAAAACAGGTCTCTTATACCAGAAGTTCATTCATTAGATGAAGAACTATCAAAATAGGTTTGCTAGTTTCCATTTAAAGACCCATTTAATGACGTTTTTCTCATTTTTAGATTTATCACCAAAAAAGGGCCCCGGCGTAGTGGGTTTACTCTTCCTTGGAGATAAAGAGTTAAAATGTAGGTGTTATTATGTCAACACAATTTCGATCATTTAGGAGAGAGGTATGTTTCCCATCATGTCTGAGAGGGATACAACATTCCAAAAGAAAGACCAAAATACTGAACAAAATTTTCCCCACTTGAGGATTGAACTTGGGTCTCCTGCACACACAGACTTTGAGTGTCAAAGTCAAAACAACACTGAACAAATACTGTTACAAAAGAAACGGCACACGGAGTGACTGACAAGCCAGTCTGTTGACCATAGCATTCATACATTTATCTATGGCATGTTACAATTAGCACAGCAAAGAAATCTAAGTGACAGTTGCTGGGGAAGGGGGAGGAGGGGGGAGTGGAGAAGACATTCAAACATTAATTCTGACAAGCAATTTGCAAACCATCAATGTAAAAAGGTTTAGGGTTTTTTTCATGAAGAAAAATTTTACAGGACATTTAAACATCATACAGACATAGAATCACACTACAAAACCAAATAGAAATATAAGTAAAAAAAAAAATAGATTAAATAAAATAATTAAGTAAAGCATAACTAGATATAACAAAATGCCTACCTGAGTGCGTGCAATGTTCTCTGAATCATAATGGCCGCGGTCTGTCAGGGTGCGGCTAAGGGCAGACAACTCCCCAATGCTGTTGGCAAAGTTGTCAATGTCCCTCTCCAAAGCATCCAACTTCTTTGTGAGGGCCTGCAATAAAATATAGGAAGAACAAAGAATTATTTCACATGTATCTGACACAAAAGATGAACAATTAACTGACAGATGGATGGCCTTGACTGCTCTGTGAACACCAGGTATATCATTTAGTCCTGTACCTTACGACACACCTGTACCTTACGACACTCTTAACGACCCACCTGTACCTAACAACCACCTGTACCTTTTGATATGCCTGACAACCCACCTGTTGTACCTAACGACCCACCTGTACCTAATGACCCACCCGTACCTAACGACCCACCTGTTGTACCTAACGACCCACCTGTTGTGTTGTACCTAACGACCCACCTGTTGCACCTAATGATCTACCTGTAACCCACCTAACGACCCACCTATTGTACCTAACGACCCACCTGTTGTACCTAACGACCCACCTGTTGTACCTAACGACCCACCTGTTGTACCTAATGACCTACCCGTAACCCACCTAACGATCCACCTGTTGTACCTAATGACCTACCTGTAACCCACCTAACGACCCACCTGTTGTACCTAATGACCCATCTGTATCTAACGACCACCTGTACCTAACAACTTACTTGTACCTAACCACCTACTGTACCTAATGACCTACCTGTAACCCACCTAACGACCCACCTGTTGTACCTAATAACACATCTGTACCTAACAGCCCACCTGTACCTAACGACCTACCTGCACAGAGTCCTGGTCCTTGCCCAGGTCAGAGCTGGTCAGCTGAGGAAGTTTCTCCTTCATCCACTGCTCCAGCTCGCTAACCTCGGTGTAGAACTGAAAGTACAAAAACACGTTGTCGATGTCTCTTCGGGGACATGGAGGACACATACTTCTGATCACTAGCATACCAAAGGCAACGTTGCAGGACATTTCAAACCACCATAAACAAATCAGAAATACTAATATGTATATGTGTCACGACATGGTGAAATCGGACGCTCGTCAATTTTGTGGCATGTGAAATTATTGGCATCATCTGAAAGCTGAATTTTTTTACCTTGCTTCAAATGAAATTAAAAAACAATTTATCTTGAAAAGAATTCAAGATATTCGTGATTGAAGGAGGTGAGGTCGCCTGGTTTCAGTGTTGAAATTAGTGAGAAAATGGCTGCCACAGTTTGGTAACTTCAATAGCTAAAGAGTCTTCGAAAACTTAAAAATGCCCTTAATCAACATTTTTCAGTAAAATTCACAAGAAGGAAATGTGTTTTAATAAGGCCATAAGAGCGGTTAAGCCAAAAAATAAAAATTCGATAAAATTTTCCAAACTGGCGAAAAAATACCCGAGTCTCCGATTTCGGTATTTTGACGAGCACCTGATTTCGCCAAGCTGCCTAACATATTTTATAGTGTGCATGATGTTGCCTGCCTTCATTTATTAATTAATTTACCTCTTAACAGGGCACGCCACCAAGATTTTCACACGAGCGAAAAGAACTCAAATTTCATTTTTAAGCAAAAACTTTCACACAAATAAAAACAACTGAGTTTCATCTCCCACCTTCTAATTTCAACAAAAACAATAAACACTCAGTATCATCTCTGTCTGATCTTCTGCTTAAACACCCCCCCCACAAAAAAAAAAAACCCAAAAAAAATATTTAAAAAAATAATTTTCTACTTAAAAAATTAACAAATTATTCCATAAATAAAATAAAATCAAACAT